TGTAAACCTCTTTATTTCTGTAAACTTCCCTTTCCAGCACAGGCAGCCCCCTTCACCCTATGTCAATTTGAGGGCTTCCTTATTTTCTAAGAATTGCACCTGGAGCAGGAACTCACAAAGTCAATGTCAATTTTCAGCATTTTCCCCTCCCCATGATCGCTTATTAACTCAGATTGCAAAAAATAAAACATGGGCAGAAAAAGTAAATGTGACAACTACTGTAAGAGGAAATAACCTGTACTGCATACTAAAAGAGTTACAAGATTTTGATAGTCTAAAGTGGATTATAATGGTATTAAACCAAGGGGACAAATCTTAAGAAACAATCATAAATAATTGTCATGGGTACACTTTGCCATTTAATGCATTGGAACAATAGTTTTGCGGGTTGGCTTTACTACTTGTGATTCATTAATTGAAAGTTGAACTCAGTAGTGGTTTACAGTGAGTTATCTACCTTTTTTATTTTGTAGAATAAAAATTCCAAAGGTTTAGGAACATGGAAATGTTGCAGAACATCTATAAGTGCAACCTAGCCACCCCTAAACATACATATTCCCCCCACCTCAGAATCTTTCCTTCAACTGAGGCTTTAAGAAATGCATTGCTGTGAGACTCGAGCATTCTTGAAAACACATATGAAGAATAGCATCCTGTTCTCTATATGACAGAAATGATAATAGAGGATGCTACAATGAAAACAGCCTCTCTGATCTTCAAGCGGATGATAGGACCCACAAGTGGCCAAGACTTGTTGGTACTTAACACAGCAGGTGTGATAGAACTTACCATAATATGCCAAGGTCTAAATGGTAGAGGTATGGATTTGTGGCAGTAGCTAATTGATAGAAAATCCCTAGAAATAAGATAAGCAGTGGATTATGCTGCTGCTTGAAATATAAATGTGTGTATGTGTGTGTGTGTGTGTAAATTACAACATCTATGAAGGAAAAACTGAAGTTAGTATTGTGGCGATTTAGAACCTCTTGCCCAGACACAAACTACTTGACTAAGGAAAGGTCTTGCACCTATGAGAAAGAACCATTCAAAATGAATATAAGTATATGTCCTAAATCATCATTTAAACTTTCCTGAGAGAGAACTGCAGCCATTTATCAATGTGACTATGGATGGAGGAGAGAGGAATAACCAGACTGTGCACTGGTTATGAAGTGATGGCTCTATCTTTCTGATACACTTCAAAAAACTTAAATGCTACCATGGACCAGAGCTCATAGAAGGAGCTTCTAGACATCAGGAGATAAATAGCATCTAGGCCTGAGTCTGTTTCATAGAGTGTCCATTGGATCCATCTAGCTCCAGAATAAAACTGGGAATAGTTCCTGACAGCATTTTTAAGCTGGGTCTTAAATCCAAGAAGCAAGGGATATTATGATAGTCAAGTAGAAGCTTCTGACCATGCCTCCTCTTCCTTCCTTCTAATCCAGAGATTATTGTCAAGACTTGAGGGATATTGGACTAGTGATTACATCCATATAGCCCCTACCTTGCTAATTTTGCCAGTGAAAAAGCTAGATGGGTTACTGTCCAGGAAAATATTTTTTTGCCCTGTTCACTCAGTACAGAAAACATGAAGCAGTTTGTATTTAAGTGTTTGTATAATACTAACACTATCTTAGGCCAGGTGGTAAGAGAGAAACTATGGCAAAGCTCAGGATTCCACTGCATCAATAAAGTATCCAAGTATCTAGTGGTCTAGGACATGTCAGGATATCCCCTCTAAAGAAAGAGGCAGCTGCTATACATTTGTTTCATTTGGAAGGCCTCTTTTGGAGGCACTGCATATCTTATTAGGGCATGTCTCACCAATCCATTTATCTAGTGAACTTTTTTTTTTTTAATTGGGTACTGGAGCAAGGCCTCTGCAGCAGGTCCACACTGCAATATATCCTCCCTTGCTAACTGTGAAATGTGGCATTGCAGGAAGCCGTCAATGAAATACATGAGGACCTTCTCTCAGCATGGAAGCCAGGGAGGGATAGGCCTGGCATTGGGAACTTCGCATGGCTCTCCCAAGGCACGTGACTTTTCCCTTCACTCTGCTAGAAAGATTCCTCATAGTACCAACAGAGATGGGCATAACCCATTAGAAACTAAAAAGCCCATCTTTTTTTTGGAAAATAACAGTCTGTAGAATCTCTTTGATGTTTCCCGATATAAATAAAACGGCCCAGGCTCCATTTTGTCAGAAGTTCCATCCGTCTGGTCAGCTTGTCCATCCTGCCCCCACTTTAAAACTGCTTTCTGTATTCTTTTTTTTTTTTTCCACAATTGTAGTTTTCCTAGTTTTTATTTCTCAGCCCATTCCAGTGAGGGGAACCCCATTCGCACTGCCTGCGCGGGACATGGCATAAAAGGCTTAAGAGTCCAAGACAATCATGGATATGGAATAGAAGCTCTGGGAAATTTCCATAGATGTATCATGGCACAAAATTTTAGGTTTGCCAATAAGGTTATGCCTTCTCTGCAAACATCTGCTATTTGAAAAACAGATCTTAGTTTTGCTACTAGATTATGATAGAGACTGAATATGTACTCATAGGATAAAAGGAATTTTGTGATCCAAACTGCCTATTGCCAACTATCACCTAACACAGGATCAGCAAACTAAGTCCTGAGGCCCAAGTTTGGCCCATTGTTCTCTTGTAATAGGTTTATTGGAACACAGTCATGCCAATTAATTTACATATTGTATATAATTCTTCTACACTACACTGGCAGAATAGTCGTGACAGAAATCATATGGCCTGCATGACTAAAAATATTTAGCTTCTAGTCTTTTACAAAGAAGTTTGCTGACCTAAAATCGATTTAACAAGCAACATTCCATTATCAAGCAAAAATGACACATACCCCCTCAGATCTACACAGGCCTTAAAAACACACAAGCTACGCAAACAAGTGACTGAAGATTTCTATAATATATATCTTCTACTACTTTTCTGCCTCTCAAACTATGCCTAGGTAAAATTGGAGATTTCATGAAGAAAGCAAAAACTCTGGTTTATGGAGAGATCTCTAGGGTTGATCGGATGAGAACAAAGCTATATTATAGCTTCCCCTTAGGTATGGATGAAACATACTCTTTGAGAATGTTTAGTAGTCTACTTCAAAAGGAAGACAGTCTAAGGATTTATGCAGATTCCTGGGTAATAGCTAATGGGTTGGTTAACTGGACAAAGTTTTAGAAAAATCAATATGGAAAATTGGTGTCAAGACAGTCTGAAGAGAAGCGTGTAAAAAGGCCTGCCAAAATAAGTACAGGATGTTAAAATTAAGTTGCATGTAAATGCCTATCAGAAAACATCCATGGCAGGCAAGGAGATTAAGAACCAGGTAAAAACAATAACCTTGTCCTGTGGATGTCAGGATCTTTCCTAAGGAAGGAATCCATTTGCTTATTCATCGAACCCACTTACCCTGTGGCCATAGTAGCATGGGCAGAGACCAAGAATAACTTCACACATGGTCTACCCTTACCAACGCTTATGTGAAAGGCCACTGTTGAGTGCCCAACCTAACAAAGATCAATGCTAACTTCCCCCAAATTACTTCATTTTCCAGTGGCACCAGGCAACTTCCTATGGCATGTTGTTACACTAAACCTTTTATGGTAGGGGCAATATTTTTTCTCTCTGAATATACATGGTGGTACTAACTGCCATTATCCAAGGATTTATAGAGAGCTGCATCTATAACCAATGAATCTGTGATGGTTTTCAAAATATCTCAAAAGTTCCTTTCTACTCCTTACTTCAAGAGGGAAAGTTTGTGTCCCATGCACATGGACTAGAACTAGTGACTCACAATGTACTGCAGAAGTGACGCAATATCATTTCCAAGATTAGGTTAGGAAAAGATTGAGCTTAAATCCTAGGTATACTCTCTTTTTTTTGGATTGCTTTCTGATAGGGTGTGTGTGAAGAGTTGGGTGTGGGGGTTGGAGTCAGCTGCCATATCATTAAGCAGCCCTGTGGGGAGGCCACATAGTGAGGAACTTAAGCCAATGGCCACATAAGTGAGCTTGGAAGTATAGCTATTCTGTTAAGAGTGCAACCCTGATTAACAGTTTGCCTTCAACTTCATTAAAGACCCTGAGCCAAAATCACCCAGCTAAGCCTCATCTAGATTCCTGACTCTCAGAACTGTGAGGCAATAAATGTCTGTTGTTTTAAGCCACTAGGTTTGGTATCATTTGCTAGACAGCAATTAAATATTACATACAATGTTGCCTATCATCAGCAAACTCACTTTGCAGACATGGGATTCATGCCTAGAGAATTTACTAGTCTTGTAACACTGCAAAGCTGCTGCCTTGATAGAATTTATGGTCTATCAACAAAAGGCTGTTAAGGGGCCAGATGGAGCCAATGGTTTGTAAGGCTGGGGTACTGTCCTCTGGCATACAGTTTATGCCTTTAACCAGCAATCATTTCTCTGATGACCAGAATGTAGAGTTCTGTTTGTGAGGGGTTTAAGAGGTCAGAGTCTCCACTGTCACTATTATACAGAATAACTGATTTAATTAATAGAATGTTGCTACACTTCATAGATTTCTCTCCAAAATAAACACCATAAAGCAGAGCACAGTGAGAACCTGAAATAAGATTACAAGTTGTTTTTTTTTTTAAAGAGTGAGAGAGGAGAGAGTGAGAGAGAGAGAGAATTTTTAATATCTATTTTTTTTTCTAGTTCTCGGCGGACACAACATCTTTGTTGGTATGTGGTGCTGAGGATCGAACCCGGGCCGCTCGCATGGCAGGCAAGCGCGCTACCACTTGAGCCACATCCCCAGCCCCAAGATTACAAGTTTTGAGGACAGCCTTGGCAAGGCAGAAAGACCAGTATAAAAATCAAAAAGGGCTAGGATATAGCTGAGTGGTAAAGTGCCTCTGAGTTCAATGATCAGCACACAAAAACAAAACAAAGTGCAATATGACTACTTCAAACAAAACAGTCATTATTAATATTTGAATTTAGACACTTATGAATCATTGGATTGTTTGAGGTTTACACATTTAATATTTAAATTTTATATTTAAATATTTAATATTTAAATTTTTAAAAAATTTAAAATGATATGTAATTTTTAAGAAATAAAAGTAAAAGTGTGCCCCAAGTAGTTGGTTTTCCATTTGCTCATGGTCTTTGAATTCAGTTTTACAGAGGCATGCAGAGTACTGCATTTTCCATGATGTGGAAATATAATTCAATAAAACCTAGGTATACTTTATTAGGATCAAAGAACTTTCTGTTTATTTTAAATATCAAAATAACACAAAGAACTAATTCAATATACAAGACATTTCCTATTCTTCACAGAGAACTGAATTTTTCTATAAAGACATTATACTTAAGAAACATGAGACAAACAAAATATCTATTAAACTCACATTTTATACAGTTGACAATCATGAATTTTGATATTTCAGATTTTTCTTTGTAATTTTTCTTGAAAGCATCCTTAATTAAAAACAAAAATTATTATTTGAGACTGAAAACAAGTCCAAAACCACTTCTATTTTAATGTACATCATAAATCCCCTTAATTAGAACATTTATTACACAACATGGAGCAGTTAAATATCCAGATTTGTAATTTTTTTTTTTTGGCAGCCACACTCATCAACGGTTATTACAGTTTTAGCTATAGGGATAAGAGTGATTGTTGAAAGGAATAAAATTTTTATAATTACTTCATAGCACAGTGTACATTGTCCAACTTTAATGCAAGCACAGGTAGCAAGCAGAGGCTTAATAATGAGATGTGCACATGCTCTTTATTCAAAACACGCTTCTGAATCCCCAACAGTAATGCAAATACTGAATTTTTTTAACCTACTTTGAAAAAAAATAAAGGTTAGGTTCATCTTTGATAACTTCTATGCTCTGAATATAATCCTTAATTTCTCTTTATAGAAATGGCTGCAGAGACTAAATTTTAATTATTTGGGGATTGTTCAAGTCATAGACTTAAGATCAATACACAGCAAGTTGAAACATGAAGAGTAAGCAAAATGTAAGTACTCTCTCTCTACAAAAACTTTCTTGCTCCCATTCTCCACACAATCTAATCCTACTACTTCTATCTTACTAATGCTACTTTCAAAGAGAAAGAGCAGAAAGCATGCTAATGATAGAAGGAAAGCATTTTAGGTAAAAAAAAAAAAATTCAGAGGAAATAAAGGAACACCCTAAAACACTATGGACTATAGCAAGGGAAATGTGCAAAGAGTAGGATCTATAAAATTGCCTAGTTCCTAGAAATTGAATAGAAAATTATTCTCACATTATCCATCATTCACTAATAGCAAGTAATATTTACTATTACACTACTCAAAGTTTTAGAAACTTGTTATTGTTCCTTATTAAAAAGAATACATTTTCTTTTCATTTAAAATTTGGCACTAAGTCTTAGAATATCCAAATATGACTTTAAAAATCCTGATTTTTCCTGAGTTCATCAACTCAAGTTATATATCGGTTGGGATATTGCTGCTTCTAATGGGAATCTTATCTCAAACCATCACCTCTTGTTCAGATTTAGGCAAATTAAAATAAGAAGTCACTCAGTGCAGAACAGTGTGGTTATGGTAACTGCGTGGTTATGATTATCCAAAAAGATAGAGAGAGAGACAGACACACTATTCATTTTATTTGTTAGACTCTTCTAATAAGCATTTAAAGACAGGCCCAGGAGTGACTTCACAGTTAACTATATAGGCTACAATACAGATTTCTAAAAATGACATATAAATCATAAAAACAAATGTTCACACTAGCGCTTAGTGCCAATTTTCCTACATAAACATAAAACAACCTAAACAAGTTGTTGCCTAACCAGCAGGCAACACAAACATAAGACCCATAACAAACAAGAAACTCAAAACAAAACAAAATCATTTATTAACCAGTACAATCTAGCTAGCAGAATCAACTAAGCAAGTATAACATTTTGAAAAGGCACAAAATAGTCAAGAAAAGATGGTATAAAATGACACTGTCAAAGAGCTAATGCTTAAAATCTGACTTTTCATCAATTATATTAGAATGATATGGTAAGAAGAAAATTCAGGCTTATAAACATACCAGTTCAACTGTATTGAATTTGTTAACAATTATAGAGTGAAAAGCAATGAGTGATGTTTAATTATTTATTAGCCCTTAACTAATATTTTATGGTCACTCTGCAAACATGTTTGGACACTTTAAGTTTCACAGAACATTTGTAATTATTTCTTGACCTACCATCACTTAAAAGAAAATCACTCACTAAAGCACCAATTTAAAACCCTACTTTTGCTACTCCTCTTTTCTCAGCAATGAATGTCTAAATTACTCAAAAGTATGCAAAAACTATTACCTTATAGTTACTGGTTATGTCTTGCTGGTATGAGGAACAAATCCTAATCTCAAATGGTATTTTAGGCTGCAAAAAATAGGTGGGTTTTTTTATATATATATAAAAATAACAACTTAACCCCCCAAAAATTTCTAAGGCAAAAATTATTTTGATAACGTAGTGTAAAAAATAAAGATTATTTAGCATTTGATAGTGTTCACTAAAAACAACATTCAATTAAACTTAAGAAAACTGAGTATGCTTACTTATAATTGGTTTGTCAGTATACTATTCCCAGAGTATTTTTGTCTGTTTTTATTGTTATACATATAAACACAAACATTTAATACTTAATCTCAGTATTCAAACTAGTTTTTTTGTTTGTTTTTTCTTTAAACCCATATTTCTAGGACTTCAACTGTGCTTCTTTGGACAAATACTTATTCAAACAACAAAGAATTTAAAATTTTTAAGACTATTTAATACCTACTAAAAATCTTTGGTGCATTTAAGTCAAAACAGATTAGGTTAATAAATTTCTGCACTTGATAAATTATTCAATTTACAGACTAAGTGCTAATTGCTATCTGCTAAAAAATTAACTTAAAACAATAAATTATGTTTATAAAATAACAATTCTCAATAAGGCTAAACTTAAGTCAAAATTTTAAGGATAGTTATAAAATAAAATGGATTACAGGGTTATAGAAAGGTAAACTGAAAAGAGTAGGCTTCATTTTATGCTTTTTGTGCTCAATGCAAAAGCTTACATACATTCAGTTTGCCCAAATCCATGAGGTTTTCCCAATTTCAAAATTTCTTATATTTCTGGAAATTCAAGGCAGCAGATTAGTTTTCTTTTTGTTGTTTTTTCATAAGAATTAAACTCTCTACCAGACAGGGTTACAGTTAAGTGAGGGAATGTAATCCCTGGCACATAGTAAGCCACCATTAATGCCACCTTTCTTCTTTTCTATTGGTAACTCTGCAACTTACTGATCACATGAATTTAAATGAGTCCTTTCATCTTAACCTCCGATTCTTTCTCTACAAAATGGGAATACAACATGTCCTTTCTATTTCAGAGCTGGTTATGAGGTTCAAATGAGATAATAAGTGAAAGCATTTTAGAAAACAGTAAACCACTATTCAAGTTTAAGTTATCTTCAATAATAACTAAATACAATTATACAATTGTATTTCACTTTACATAAGAGATGTTTCTCAGAAAAGTTCTATGTAAACCAATCCCTACAATTATACCATATATTTAAAACATTAGAACATTATTAAAAGAACCCTAAAGTAAATACCTTCAAACAGCAAAGTATTCTTTTCAATGTGAAAATGCAATATCCTCTCTTTTTTGGCCACCAAATATACAATACACCATATACATACACATATATATATATATATACCATTTGCCTTTTTGTGAGTCCAAATTTTTCTATATTAGCTTATATATAAGGCAAAGTATATTTTTAGGTATGATTTATTTTTTATTACAGTTAAGATTTTTAGTTAAAATCTTGTCAGTCTTTATAATAAAAATCATAAAGATGTATTTTTAACAGTCAATCTGAAAGACTAGACTAACAGTACCTTATAGTCAAGCTCAATCATGTAAGTACCCCAGGTATAACATTTCCACATAAAGTAAATGAGAATGCTTTAGAAAGAAGAGATAATATAGTAATTATGTCTACTGGTCCTAAGATAATTATAACTAAACCTTAATAAATGAGGCAAAACTCAGGTTGGTTTTATTATTTATATGAACTACTTTGGTTAAATGCTTCAATTCTCAACATTTTTTTTTTGTTTTTATTATCACTAACATGGCAAATTTTCCTATAAAGTACCTTCATTTCTTAAGTGCTTCATCAGTTTCTTCCGCTACTAACTGGTTAAATTTTATTCACTAAAAGTTCATTATTTTATTTGTGATTTTCTTATTCACAAGGGCCAGGCCAGACTTTACAGTTTACACACAAAAAAGTGCTTAAAGCAATTGGGAGTGTAAACAAAATTAAAATGGAAAACTTTGAGAACTGCTATTTTCCAGTAGTTTACAGATAAATGGTAAATCAATAATAAATCAACCCTGTCCAGTCTAATCCTCAAGCAATCCTACTAGGAAACATTATCCTAGTATAAGTTTAAATTGACTTGAAAATATGGAAAGTGCATATCTTTAAAGGTATTCTATAATTTCAATGTTTTTCCTCAACTTCAATCAGTGAGCTTTCACTGTTAACTGCTATTTCTTTTCTCCAAGTCCTCAACTTGTGTCTCATAAAAAAATAAGAATCAAGGATAATTATAAACATTCCGCTAATTATGAAAGCAAAAATAAAGATCTGGATTGTATGTGAATCTGTAAACAAGTAGTAGCTTCATTCAATTAAAGTAAAGTAGGTGCAAATTTTAGAATTTGTTTGGCATCTTTTCTAATGATTATACATGAAGTAAGCAGGTTCTTTATCCCACTTTTAATCTGTCAAAGTAAATGAAACTCAAAAGTAGTGCATTCAATTGTGTCACTAATTAGTCATAACTGCTCCTTCATTAATGAGAGGAAGATATATGCTATGACATATTGTTAATGTTCCTGAAATAAATGACAAAAAAAGTTCAAAAGGTTAACTTACCTTGGAGATATCTAGTTAAGGCTGTCATATTTTTCATCTAACACATTTTTAACTTGTATAATTTAATGCGTAGATCAATGTTTGCATTTATTATTCATAATAACTCAAGTAAAGGCAAAACCTGAATATATGGATTATGATTTCAATCCAACATTTCTTTTAACACGCTAATCTTATATAAATTAGCTTCTGGCTTTGAGTATGTCAAAAGTCTGAAGGATTATTATACCTGAAGTTATGAATAGATGGCAAGACATCACAAATATACCCAAGACTTTCTTATATATTCAAATTCTTAATTTCAATTAAAAATGTAGATAAGTTAGGATAAGAAATTATCAGTATACTTCTACATTCTTTCTTAAGAGCTACATGGTTCTTAAACTTGTTTGTAAAATGGGGAAAGAAGAAAAGATATAAGGCTAAAGAATAAAACTTTCCACTGATGATTAAAAAAAAAATCCCCATAATGTCAGTAGCTAATTCTGAAAAGTTCAAGAACCCACTAAAAATTAGCACTAACCATTAAAAAAAATCACAAAAATGTTTACTTCAAATATTATGCCAAATTATGTCCAAATATTCATGTATTCAGTCAACAGAGACACACTGTTTTCTTGATCTGAAACTGTTCTGAGGACTTGAGAAACTACAAAAAATGAAAAAATAGCAGCCCTACTAGCTTAAAAGCCACCAGGTTTTAGCTACCATTTAGCACATAACCATCATAAAGTCTGTGGAATGTTTACTCATGAATGATGCTCATTAGTAGAAATATTCTGAACAGCAGTAGTGTTATCAAGGCCTAGTAATGTTCCAAGGTAAGACTGTTCTCTAGGATCTAGCATTTGTTCAGGTCGGACTGGATGAACTATATTTGCAGGTTGAGGAGTAAGAGTATATTTTTCCAGGAAAGCTAAATCAGCTGCACGTGGATAATCAGTTGACTGTGGCTGTGGTGACAGAATCTCATGAGAAGATGGTGGGAGTGTGGTAGTATGATGCACCAGGTCACTGGGAGTTTCAGGCATCTGAACTGGAACCAATGTTACTGGAACACACACTTCAGCAGATACATTCTGTAACATAGTCTTGGCTTCTGGTTGATAAACTTTGGGCTGGTCCATATATTGTTTTGTTTCTGTTTGAAAGATTTTATCATCAGATGAGTACTCTACCGGCAAGGACACAAGTTTTTCCTCAGAAGTACTGAGAGGATCATCAGGAGATTTTATCCCATGAACGTGGTCAATATGGTATTTCAGTTTGTCTTTCCGCTTAAATGTTGCATTACAATGCTGACAGTTGAAAGGTCGGGCATCAGAATGAATAACCAGGTGTTTTGTTAAGGTTTTTTTAATTCTAAAAGATTGATTGCAAATTTGACACTTGTATGGTTTTTCACCTGTATGAAAAAAAAATAAAATTAATTGTAAAGTGTACCTAATTGATAAAATGATAATTTAAATTGCAAGGTTTCCATCTGCATACTTGTAAGACCTTAATAAGAACAATCATATTAAATTAAATGCTATCACAAAAAGGGATAGCATAGTAAAGTGATGAAAACAATCAGTTAAATATCAGAAAGATATGGGCTTGAGTTGTGGCTACACAACTTACTAGCCAAACCTTAAGCAAGCTAACAACTTCTACTAAGCCTAGTTTTCTCACCTGTAACATGAAATAATGATAGCACCTAAATGGAAAACTGAAATAACACTGCTCAGCACTAATTATCATTTCTCACTTTATTCCCACTATAGCCTCCAAAAGTTTTGTTAAACTTATTTTCTTCTATCCAAGGAAGATAAAAATCATAACAGAAACTCTTATCAACCTTTTTCTTTGGATCAGAATGAGAAGTAGTCATAATCATCTCTAGCCCAAGGTCTAACTAAATAAGAAAAGTTGATGGGAAAGAATTAGAAGGCTAAATCAGTTTTCAATTCCTGAGTCAAGGATCTCACACTATAGATTAATTTGCTTTTTTACATAAGGCATTCAAAATTCCTAGGTTAGCCAATGTGATAGGCAGAATAACAGTCCCTCAAAGAGGTACACATTCTAATCCACAGAAGCTGTGAGTACATTATATCACACAGTAAATGAAACTTTGCAGATATGATCAAGTTTAGGATCTAAAATGGACAGATTTATTGGATTATGGAGGTGAGTCCAATATAACTGAAAGAGTCTTAAGAACTGTCTGCTAACTGAAGAATAATGGGTGAGAAACATGTGACAAGAGAACTCAGCCCCAAATTACTGGCTTTGAAAATGGAAGAAGGGAACCCGGCAGGACCCAGGACACTAAAAGTTGTAAAAGGCTCTTAGCTTGCCACCACCAAGAAAATTAGAACTTTAATCCTAGCCCTTTAACTCCAAGAATTCTATTTTGCCAAGAACCTCAGGAATTGATAAATACATTTTTCCTAAGAGGCCTCAGAAAAAAATACGACCCTACCAACACCTATATCTTAGCCCAATGAACTATAAGTTCATAAATATTCATAAATACATATTGTTTAGGCTGCTAAATTTGTGGTAATTTATTACACCATCAATAGAAAATAAATACAGGCATGCTAATATTGCAATATACAAAGGCAAATGAGATTACATATCTACTATTTCAAATGAGATTACATATCTACTGTTACACAGGAGATATACATACATATATATATATAGAGAGAGAGAGAAGTAGTTGGATACAATACCTTTATTTTGTTTATTTATTTTTATGTGGTGCTGAGGATCGAACCCAGGGCCTTGCATGCATTCTACCGCTGAGCCACAATCCCAGCCCTTATACGAGTTTTTTAGCCTTATCTCCTTCAGCTCTCCATTTAAAACATAATCTATTCTTGTAGAAAATTAAAGAGAGAACTATCTTGGAGCTGAGAAACTATTTCAAATGATTACTTCTTAGGTATTATTGTTTAATATTTTGCAGCCCATTACAACACTGACAAACCACTGACAAAATTTATACAGATGGGGATGCTGGGAACCTGCTACCATTAGATTTCTACTTGGTTCTAGACTAACAGCATTACCAATGTTACTAGAACGAAAGTGAGACATGAAGTGATACACTATATAAAGAAGTAACATTTCTGAAAAGAAAGTACTTTTTAACTATATATAGGATGCGCTGTCTCTGACATTTGATTTTACAGTTGAATGCCTAGAATTAGAGACAATGACAAAATTCATAGTGCTTTGAGAGCGAGAAAGAAAAAAAAAAAAGGTTTTTCTTTTTAGGTTTTAGCATTTTAAGTTCTTTCTATAAATCCCTGACATCAATATATGACATGCAAGAAGCATTCTACAATTGTCCTTGAAAATAAAAACACTAATACAGCAGCATAACACACACC